TGTAGGTTACGCTTTTACCCATGAAGATCTGGGTGACTCAGTTTAATAATAGGATACGTGAGCTTTCGCCCCTAGGTCACTGGTTCTGGGACGGCTACAGTAGGCTGTCATTCTACGGCGTCGCCATCTCGCAGCTGTTTGGTTCAAAATCCGCAGGAGAAATGTTCTGCGCGTCTCTATTAATATTCACTCGACAGGTGTATGCATTCCAACTCCTATGCATCTGCCAACTGCGACCACTTTGAAGCGGAGTGATGAAAGCCACAACAGCTGCCACCTTGAAGCAGCCCTGAGCCTGCCCAGTTCTCTCCTGCCTTTATCTAAAGGACTAAATATTAATACTTCGTATTGTAACAGATTTTTACCACCTAAAGTCAAAATCACAAAGAAAAGAGGTCTGTGGAGGATTTCTGAAATGAAATCAGTTCATTTCACAGCATCGTATACGACAAGGAAAGCAACCACTTCTCTTAGGAAAATGTGGTAAAAGCCAAGCCAGCTGAGCAAGTCAACATCTCCCATGGCTCGGAGGCCTGCAGGAGGCTGCAGACATCCCTGGGACTGCGTGCTTCCGCCACAGTCACTGCTGCACTGGCAGGTCACTTGGAAATGCGCTTCTAAATGTTACCTACCAAAGCGTCGCGTCCCCAGGCAATATGAACCAATACGCTGCCCACTAGCTCTGTCATGGTGCTCTACAGCCGCTAAGTCAATGCCTATGGAGAGCCAAAGACTGCAACTTATCAGGTCAACCCTTCACCATGGCAACTGGAAACTAGATGGTACCGACCACACGGCAAAGTCATCCCACTGCCCTAGCCCAGTGGTCGGCAAACTCATTAGTCCACAGAGCCAAATGTCAACAATACAAAGATTGAGATTTCTTTTGAGAGCCAGATTTTTTAAACTTCTTCTAATGCCACTTCTTCAAAATAGATTCGTCCAGGCCGTGGTATTTTGTGGAAGAGCCACACTCAAGGGGCCAAAGAGCCGCATGTGGCTCGAGAGCTGCAGTTTGCAGACCACTGCCCTAGCCAGTTTGGCTCAGTGGATAAAGTGTCAGCCTGCGGACTAAAGGGTCCCAAGTTCAATTCCAGTCAAGGGCACATACCTCAGTTTCAGGCTCCTGGCCCTGGTCAGGGTATGCGGGAAGCAACCAATCAATGTGTCTCTCTCTGTCTCTCCCTCTCCCTTCCACTCTAAAAATCAGTGGAGAAATATCCTTGGGTGATGCTTAAAAAAAAAAAAGTCATTCCATTAAGAAGGGTTCCCCACAGCCTTAAGTCATAGGAATACCTGGAGAAGAATTATATTTTGAAAAACAAAACTATTATTTTTAAACCACAGTATGGAGATTATTTGCTATTGACTAATTTGTTAGGTCTGTACTGAAATAATGATGAGTTAGCCACTGACCTTTACCACATATTCAGTACATGTCTCAAATGGAAATAAAACTCATCTAGGAAATAAAACTCATGTATTCCTATTTTCCACATCCACATTCATACCTTCTTTCAAAGAATGCAGCATCTCCTTTAAGGAGAAAGTTAATTTAACCAGGTGATAGTCCAACTCACACTTAGGGTGTATTTTTGTTTGTACATAATGCTTAATAGGGATCGGCTTTAAATGGTGTTAAAAACTGTACTATTTGGCACAGTCTCAGAAAATGGTGACAAAGTCACTATTAACTTTTTATTTGAAATATATTATCTAAAATATATATACATCACACAAACACACACATATACACACATATTATATATATTGATTTCAGAGAGGAAGGGAAAGGGAAACGAGAGAGAGAAACATCAGTGATAAGAGAGAATCACTGATTGGCTGCCTCCTGTACAATCCCCACATGGGGTATTGAGCCCACAAGCCAGGCATGTGCCCTGACCAGGAATCAAATCATGACCTCCTAGTTCATAGTTCTATGCTCAACCCCTGAGCCACCACAGCCAAGCTGTATCATTTTATTTTAAAAGGTCTTAAAAATGCTGCAAGTTCAGGCTTGACAGATTTGTTCCTGTCAAACCCAAGACACCTTATAAAACGAGAAAGAAAGCACTAACTAGGCCCTTTTGATCTGGTTTAGTAAGGCAACAAAACAAATCTGCGGTTTGACTCTGTTTTGCTTTAGCACTAGTGTGTATTACAGACCGTGATCTGCAATCCCACTTCACTGATGAGGAAAGTAAGACACAGAGAGGTTAAGTGACACAGAAACACAGTCCCTCTGAATAGAAGGGATCTTAGTTACAACCGCAAATCCACATTTTTATCAACTTAAAAAAAAATCATTTTTTTTTACAAGCTAAAAGTTTGCCAAAAAACTCTATAGTTCCAAGTTTAATAACAAAGTTAGCAAACCTATCAGTTTTGTCTGCGTTCTATATTAAAACCATGAAGTCTCTGTCTTTTGTCTTAAACAAAAAGAAGCTCAGAGAGAATTTAGTGCCCAAGCAGAACACCACTTCCTAGCCGTGGTTTCTGGGGGTTATCTCATCCTTCGTCACTCACCTTTTCACAAACTCAGTAACTATTAGTTGAGCATCTGTTATATGTCATCCAGTATTCTAGGCGCTAAAGAAACAGTAGTGAACAAACCAGGAGAACACTCCTGTCTTCTAAACGAATTACAGAAATATAAGTTACAGCACGTTAGTGTTATGGACAAAATAAGCAGGAAAGGAGACTGGGATTGCAGGGTGCGGTTCATCTTTGAAAGGAGTGGAGAGTGAAGCCTTAAGGGTGACATGTGCATCCAGACTGGAAGGGAGAAGGGAAGAGGAGTAAGCCAGCCTGCATCACAGCTATTCCAGGCACTGGGAACCAGAGCAGCAGCCCTGAGCGGGAGCATGCGTGGCCAGCGTGAGGCATCTTTTCGTTGTTGTTTATTATCTTCAATAACACACTTTTCCCCATTGAAAGTTCTGTCAGATGCTTTGGATGAAAGCCGGGAACAGGCATGCAATCCTAAGTGCTGCAAACAACCTTCAGGCACTATGACACTTCAGAAGAGGTTCCAGCGGTTGCCTATTGCGGGACACTTCACCTTGCCCCTCCTACTCCCGTTTCTTCCCCACTAGAGATCAAAACACTGACTTCCTAAAACTCACTCACCGAAGTAAAAATAAAATAAAATAAAATAAAATAAAATAAAATAAAATAAACCTGCTCTGGGGGAAAGGCCCACTTTCACTAAGGAAACCAATCAAACTGCGATGCAGAGAACCCTGAGTAGGGACTACCCGTCCGGAGCTTGTAACCCACTGCACTTGTATCCAGTGTTTAACAGGAAGCACTACCTGGCATTGTCCCTCTGTTTACATCTCAGCATTTGCTACTTCGGATTGTTGTGCACACATCTGCTCGATTTCCCTGGAGCGGGGCCCATCTCTTGGAAACGCCTGAAGCCCATCCCATGACTGCACGCGGATGGCACAAATATTTGTGTGACAGCTTAATTTTGTTTGGCGGTGATGTCATAGAAACCGCCACAGTGAGCAGCAGACAGCCTCCTGTGTTAAGTATCTGTTTGTGGATAAACCATGAAAGAAACACCATCGTGTCTCTGCACAGAGTTCGGATAATCTCAACAATCTTGGGCAAGTTACTGTTTGTGTAACATTCCATCCCGTCTAACTTCCCCTTTGCATTCTCAGTCGGGCACAGTGCGCACACACTTTCCGTCTAGACACAAGCAGAGATTAGCCACGGAACACAAAGGAGCCACACTGCGCTGGGTGAAATCCTGTTCAGCCAATGTTATCAAACACTGTTAAAGGAAAGGGACTCAACATGAAACTGCCAGATACAAGGAATGTAAGTCACTGGCCATACAGTCTGGCAAGACAAACCCACACATCAGGAATAACTTCAGTGGATGGAAAGGACACGGAAGTATTTTGAAAGTATATAAACAGTAGCCAGGGGGGAAAAGGGGGATGAGGGTGAGGGTAGGGTTTGGGGTGAAGGGGGGTGGGGAGAGAGGACCAGGGGGCAGGGGGCAGGGAAGGCTACACAGAAAAGTTGGCACCTGAACAGCCAGGGCTTGAAAGATGAATAGGCCTAGGACAGTCAGAGATCAAAGGGCATTCCAGATTGTGCAAAACACACTGGCAGAAACATAACCCTGAAAACTGCTGGAAGAATGCATCCAGCATCCGTGAGGGAAAGCAGGTCTGTTGCCCTCTTCATCTTTCCAAGGGGGAAACACACACACACACACACACACACACACACACACACACACACACACCAAAAAACCACCAAGCAACCACCAAGCGTCCAAAGGGAGCAAAGGAAGAACGTGTCACCAGCACTTGTTTTTTTAAACCTCTCAGCTTTGCTTTGCCCTTTCTGTGCTGTTCCCTCTTCCCTCTTAAATAAATAAAAAGTTCTGTGCTGGCATAAGAGGTCAGTGAGGAAAAGTACTTCAACTTCACTGTGGAAAGCGAAAAACTGAAAAATCGGCAAAGGAATAAACAAATTACACAAATGAAACAGATAACTGGAGCACATGTTAGCATGCAGCCCTACCTGGTCCTGCTCCACTGCTTACATTTCATCATTTGCTACTTAAAAAAAAAAAAAAATCAGATATCATGGACCCTTCTGTTCACAAGGCCACATAGTTATCTTATGTTCACCAAGTGCTGGTCTCTGCACATCCTCAATGCCCACCTTGTGGAGCAGGCTCTTGCTTGCCATCTAGCAAAAGACATAAGCAGAGGGCCATTCCCTGTGCCCTGTTCCTTCCTTCCTCTGCTGCCAACCAACCAATGCCTGCAGCTCAGAGCAGAGTTAGCTTCCAGCCCGGTTACCCAGGGAGGGAAAAACACGCTGGGATAATGACATTCCAACCACTGACTGGTAAGAAAGGGTCTGTCGGAGGTTCCCGGGAAGGGTGTGTACCCCACCGCTTCCTGCGATGAGGGCTTTGGAAAGCGGGCAGGGGCGCAGGGCAGGGGTGGGGGTGGGGGGAGAGTTACCTGGGAGCTCAGGTAGACTTTGAGGCACTCCTCGCACACGGCCTTCTTGCAGCAGGGCAAGGGCTTGATGGGCTTGTCTTCCAGGCACACCCGGCACATGAGCACCATGAGGGGCGCGTAGGGGTCCCCCACCCCACCCAGGCCGGGGTAGGGCGGCGCTCCCAGCAGGCGGGGCGGCGCGGAGAAAGGCTCGGGCGCCAGATAGAACTCCAGCTCGATGCCGCCGCCGTCGGGGGGCAGGCGGTCGGCGGCGGGGCGGGCCGGCCGGGGGCTCGGGAGGGAGGAGGAGGGGGTGCCCGGCGCGTCCATCACCGGCGGCGGGGCCCGCGGCGGCTCGGCGGGGGGCGGCGGGAGCGGCTCGGCGGCCGGGTCCGGGGGCAGCACGTTCTCCACGCAGAACACGGAGCAGAAGACCTGCCTCCGGGCGGCGGGCGGGCGCCGCTGGCCCAGCACGTCCAGCACCAGGGCGTCCGGGCCCCCCACGCGCGCCCCGGGCTGGGGCTCCTCTCCGGGGGGCGGCTCGCGCCCTCCGTCCTCCTTTCGGTGCCCGGCTTCCTCCTCCTCCCGCTGCTCTTCCAGCTGCCGCGGCAACGTCCGGGGGTTCAGGGGCGCCAGTCCTGCGGGCGGCGCGGGGGCTCGGCGGCTCTCCGTGCAGCCCGGGGCCCCCCAGCTCCCCGCGGGCTCCGGGGCGCCCGGGGCCGCGCAGCCCGAGTCGCTTCCGCAGCCGCCGCCGCCGCCGCCGCTCGGATCCGGGGAGGCAGCGGGCGGCCCGGGCGCCCCGCCGCCGTCCCCCCGCGGCGGCCTCGGGGGCTCGGGGGAGCCCGCGGCGGGGTGGCCCGGCTCCGGGGCGCCGCCGCCGCCGCTCACGGTGCTCTGCTCCTCGCCCATCGCCGCCCGCGGCCCGCGCCGCCGCGGCCCATCCAGCCGCCGGGACCCCCAGCCGGCGCCGGCGGGCGGCGGGGGCAGCGGCGCGGCTCCACTCGCGGCGGCTGCGCTTCTGCTTCCGGGTCCCTCCTCCGGGCCGGGGCCGCCGGCCGCAGCGCCCAGCGGGGAGCCCGTGCTCCCGGGCCGCGGCGCGCGGGGGACCGGGCCCGGGCCGCTCCTCCTCCGCGCGCTCCTCCCGCTCCGCGCGCTCCTCCCGCGCGGCCGGGCTCCGCCTCGGGGGCGCCGGCGGCCGCTCTCTCCCGGGGCGGGCGCGCGCCCCGCATGCAGGTCCCGGAGGCGCGCCCCCGGCGGGCACAGGGGTCCGGAGGGGCGGCGGAGGCGGGGAGCGGGGCCTGGAGGCCTGTGCGCCGCCGGGGCGCGCGGCGAGGGGCAGCCGGAGCGCCAGGCAGGCGCCGGGTCCTGGGGAGCGAGGCGGAGCGGGCGACCTCCCCGGCTCCTCCGGAGTCACCGGCGCCCTCCTCGCCGCCTGACCCCACCCCTCGGCGCACACCTCCCCGCACGCACACACACGGGCGCAGACACACACACACACACACACACACGGGCGCAGGCACACGCGCGCTCACACACGCGCACCCCGAGTGGGTGTGATCGGAGCCGCCGGGTGCTCCGCGCCCCGAGTTCACACTGGGCTTCGGCCAAACCCTGCCGCCGGGCAGCTGCCCCGGGGGCCATCGCCGAGGAGAACTTCCTGCAGAAGGGCTAGACTCAGAGCTGGACCCAGCACACTGAGGACTTGCTTTCTCTTGCTTCTCCCGGGTTGATCCCATGTTAAAGCCCTCAAGGAGTCAAGAGAAATAACTCTAGGAATTTACTCGTTCAAAATGCGTTCTGTACAACTTTCTGTCTAACCGGGTACAAAGAATCTTTGAAACCCACAAACTAAGACACACACACACACACACACACACAGACTGGAATCCTTATGGGAGCTGATAAGGAATTTAAGATTTATCACTTTTTTTCTCTCCTCATTTAGGAACTATACTTAACCCTTTAAATGTTCCAGCATGGATAGCACCAGGTTGTAAAATGGCCTGGCCCAGTGGTCGGCAAACTCATTAGTCAACAGAGCCAAATATCAAAAGTACAACGGTTGAAATTTCTTTTGAGAGCCAAGTTTTCTAAACTTAAACTTCTTCTAACGCCACTTCTTCAAAATAGACTCGCCCAGGCTGTGGTATTTTGTGGAAGAGCCACACTCAAGGGGCTAAAGAGCCGCATGTGGCTCGAGAGCCGCAGTTTGCTGACCATGGGCCTGGCCTAATTAATAGACGGGATCCTTGGTGGGAATCACGAGAAGTTTCATTAGCATAACCATATTTATTCCCCAAACTGTTTCCAAGACAACAATTATATCTGAGCCAGAACTTAATTATGTGTTGATCCGTCTTTATTTTACAGGAAGTATTAGTCACCCGGACTGGTGTGTTTTAGTTCCCTAAAGCCAATGAAAACATTTTTGGGAAGCCAACCCTTGTGTTTTTCATTTCGAGAGAGCATTCAATGTGCACGTTCATGTAATAGGAAGGAGCTGTGAAGGGTGTACAACTTTTTTATCTTGAAGTTGTTACTGGGTTGTTCTGAACTATTTTCCAAATCAGATAGAATGCTACAAAGATGACTAGCTATGCAATATCAAAGAAGCAGTGTAACGCCATAGAATATGCCTATCGAGTGCTTATGATGCTCAGTTGCACGCCAAAGGGATAAACCCAATTTAGGAGTCTAAATGACACCTCATTAATCAGTCTGACCCAAGAATGAAGATTTCTTATTTGGAAGATTAAATTCTATTCAAGGGTCCTCCCCATTCCCCACCTCACCCGCCGTCCCCACCCCGCCCCCCTACACACACACTCTCTCTCTCTCTCTCTCTCTCTCTCTCACACACACACACACACACACACACACACACACACACACTAGGCTAATTAATTTCCTGGTAGCTGCTGTTTTCTCCAAATGATACTTCTAGTGTTTATTGTTTCAAAGGCAGAAGCAAGAAGCCTGCCTATGTGCCTTTGTGTACCCCACCTGAAAACTATTCTTTCGAAAGGGATATAACAATAACGTTTTCCAGCTGGCCAGAGGCTGAGAGTGAGACCAGAGTAACCATAATGGATCCAAAGAAGTATATCTCCATAGTGTCTGTAGCAATCTTTCAATGTTCTCCGATGGTTTGGAAATCCCTCCCCACACACATTTGCCATTGGTATTCCAAGAAGTTGTTCTTGCAAAGTCTGCCATTTTGTTCCTTATCCCTTAGGTTTCAGTCCACTGGCAATGGTTCTCCTTGACACTGAACCAACTAGAAGTTCCTGCTGGGATTTCCGAAGGCGGCCCCTGGCTCTTGGGCCTGATTCCTGCCATGACTTCCTTCCTACAGAATTCGTCTGGCCTTTGGGAAGAGAGAAGCATGGCATGCCACATCTCCAGCCCCCAGACACACTCAGTCTGGCCTGAATCATGGGCCCAGCATCCCTGGTGCTCAATCTGGGATCCGTGGCACACCTGGAGCATGGGCAGGAGTTAAAAGGCAAAGCGAAAACACTGGTTCTACCATCAATTTTCTCTGAAAAGAAAAGCATGAAGCACCTATCATGATTGTGCTGATAGGATTCACTTAAAAAAATTCTCTTTATTGTTAAATGTATTACAGATGTCCCCTCCTGGGGATGTGCTCTCAGGCAATGTAAAGGTCCTTGACTGGAATTGAACCCAGGACCCTTCAGTCCGCAGGCCGATGCTCTATCCACTGAGCCAATCTGGTTTTTGGCTAATGAGCACATTTTTAAATGAAAAGGGAAAAATAAAATATTAACTGTTGATAACTCGTGGGATAGTTGCAATGCGGCACTACATATATATGTATATATTATGGCTCTTCATTACGGAGGTGATGGTTGAGAAAACTTCCCCCTCCTCGCCTTTAAAAAAAAATTCCTCTTTACCTCTCGTAGTGACAACAGGACTGTAAAAATGTTCAGAGCTAAACTCAGTCATCGCTAATACTTCTAAGTATACATCCAGGATGCCAATCATTCACTTACCAAATACAAGTGTATTTCCTTGCGTGCCCCAGACTCCTTCCCCAATGAACCCGGTGTCAAGGAGATCCATCTCTCAGCCTGCATGAAGCCAAGAAGAGGTTCACCAAGTGCAACACCAGCCCCTCTTAACCTGAGAGGCCAGTTCCCTCCTTCCTGAAGGAGTCCCTGAGCTTTTGCAGTAAGGCAACTCGAAGTTTCCACCGCTGTGGTTTTTGTTTACTAGAAAGATGTCAGCCCTATCTCTGCATCTAGAAATCCCCAGTCTCCTCTTCCCCAGGCACAAAGTCCCACAAAGAGAGAGACCTGTGCTCTGTTCCCCAGCGGCACTTCTGAAGGGGGTGTCAGGTCCCAGCTGCCTCCAGACAGGCTTTGTTTACAGGAGTCAGAGAAATTTACAGCCTGCTGGCTTCTCCCCTCCCTGAGACTGGAATGCCTCTTGGTTGGGTAAACAAGAGCAAGATAAATCTCCTCTGGTACCACCGCCCTCAGCATCATCCTTGCTGGGTAATTCATTTTGTCCAAACAAAAGGTCAATCAAGCATCGAAGTGTGTGTACCTGACAACAGTTTCAGTTCTGAAAAGAGTCGTTTTTCTTAGCAAAAGGGAAAGTAAATCTCTCCCAAAGGAGGGAAGAAGGAAAAGGTCATTGAGAGAACATTTGTTTAAAACAGGGAAGAAGTGCTTACAAAACTATGTTAAGTGAAAAAGGCAAGGGCCAAGGAATGGGTAGCATGATGACAACAGTGTAGCATGTGCATGGTAAAATAAAGACAAAGGTAGTAGTGGTTATTCTGCTGAGTGCTCCCCTCCCCCTACCAACCCCCTATCCTTATTCCAGCCATCAGGGGCGATGGAAAAGCAGGCCCCTCACAGAAAGGCCTCAGAGACCGCCTGAAGCAGGAGGAGCAGAAGCCTTGAGATTAGAGCAGGCTGGGACCCCAATCCGGAAGTAACAAACCATCAGGGGACCCCCACAGGGACGCCCAGGGGTGCCCTCTGGATCAGAAGTCCTGGAGAGGAACCAGCAGTTTGCACACCATCGAACAAGCATGTCAAACTCAAAGGCTAATGCAGCCAAAAAAAACAAGGTTTAAGTTTATGTGGGCTGCAAAAACACAAAAGCTTCATTTATCGTAGAAACGTAGGTTAATTTTGATAGGGACATGCTGAATACAAAGGGCTGAAGTAAATGAGTAATCGTTAACATAGAATAATAGAGCATTTTATTAAAAATTAATACTTTTTTGTGAATATTAACCTACCAGACACTGAATAACTGCACAAATTAATAAGCGTAATGCAAATAAACGCTTTTTTCTTGTTTTCCAAAAGCAAAATATTTCCTGTTGCACACATCAAAGAAGTCAGTCCAAGATTAATGACATGGCAACCAACTGCTAAAATATTTGCTGCTGCTGCCAAAACTGGTTTGGCTCAGTGGATAGAGCATCAGCCTGCGGACTGAAAGGTCCCAAGTTCGATTCCAGTCAAGGGCATGCAACTTGGTTGTGGGCACATCCCCAGTAGAAGGTGTGCAAGAGGCAGCTGATCTGATCGATGATTCTCTCTCATCAATGTTTCTAACTCTTTATCCCTCTCTCTTCCTCTCTGTAAAAAATCAATAAAATATATTTCTAAAAAAAAAAAAAATGTGCTGCTAGTATTAGTGGAGAGAAATGGTGCACCTGCATGTAAGGGAAATGAATGCAACACAATTATAGAAATCAGTCATTAGTAAATGCTGTAGTTTGTTATTAATAACTATGGGCCTGGTGCACAGATTCATGCACTGGTGGGGTCCCCCCTGGCCTGGATTGCGATGATCGGGCTGAAACTGGCTCTCCTACATCCCCCAAGGAGTCCCAGATTGCTGAGATGGGGGTTCTCAGG